TAACACAGTTTCATTTCATTTTATCCCTTGTATTTATTTTCCTTCATTAGTCTTTAGTTCAGACCTTGACCCAACTTGTCTACAGATTGTTAGGGAAGCTAATATCTGGAAATTGCTTGGCTCCTTTAGAGGGTGACAATATGTCCAGGTGTTCATGGGACTGTGGTCTCTTGAGTTGTGGGACTTGCAGTGTGAAAGCTGACACAGTTGGTCAGATACTCCTTTGATTTTATTTATTTATCCAAGATACAGAGAGAGAGAGAGACCATGAGAAGTGGGGAGGGGTAGACAGAGAAGCAGACTACCTGCTGAGGAGGGAGCCCGACTCCGGACTCAATCCCAGGACCCTGGGACCATGACCGGAGCCGAAGGCAGACTACCAACTGAGCCACCCAAGTGCCCGTCAGACACTTCTTTGGCACTTGCAAACCATAGGGCTGGAGTGACTGCCTCCATTCACTGGACCCCAGGGCCAAATCTGTTTCCTCTTCTGTTTCACCCAGCTTGAAATTTACTTCTAAGGAAGGGTATAAATGTCAAGTTGTGTTAAGAGTTTACCTTTTAACCTTACAGTTAACAATACTGTATTGTGTATCTGAAAGTTGCTAAGAGAGTACATCTTAAAAGTTCTCATCATGAGAAAAAAAATTTATAACCACGTGTGGTGATGGATGTTAACTGGACTTATCATTGCAATTATTTCACAATATATACATATGTCAAACCATTATGTTGTCCATCTTAAAAATGTTATGTCAATTCTATCTCACTAAAAATAAAATTAAGTTAAAAAATTAAAAAAATAGGAAGAAAACAGTTATATCATAAATTACTTTTTTGACCTAAGAAGAGAGATGTAATTTAAATATGTCACAAAGGCTAATATTCTGGATACCTCTTCAGGGTCTGTGAATAAAGCTGTATTTCAATATTAAAAAAAAAGGTTAACTAAAACATACAAGTTGTCCCCTCTTAAGCAACTGGCAACTGTTTATTAGCCCAGAAAGTATTCTGGACCAAATTCCAGTTCTTGTGTCTGGGAGACTTCCAAAGTGCGCCTTTTTTAAGGAGGAAGGGAAGGGAGTGAATAAAAGGCTCCCCTCTCTTTCCCTGTTCCATTATTCTCCAGTGCAGCCAGATTTTAAGCCCATGGAATGCCACAGGTAATTCCAAACGCTACCTTCTTATTATATGAAGGTTGGGAAAAGAGCAACTTATGTGTAAATTCGACTGATTAATGACTTAGAAGAAGCATCGGCAAGCTGGAAATTGGAACAGCGTTTATCCCCATACACCTAACAAGGGAGGCATCCTAGTTCAGGCAGTTGTACCCATTCATATTATGTGAAAGAGCCATGGGTATACCAGAATCCCATGATCTGAATCCATTTCTTTCAGTGAATCTGAAGATGAGGGCTGATGGAGACACAACTGGCCTTTTCCAAAGTCATACTTAACTATGGAAGGGAAAGTGAAAGGAATGTCTCTTGCTAAATGTTTTCTTCTTGTTTCCTACATGGAGAGCTAATTGGACCTTTTAAATTCTGTCTATAAATCATGATCTTTCTATTAGGGGCAATAAAAAAATCTATAGGTTCTTAGAGTTGTTTCTAGTTTAACTATGGTAATTGACCATGAATAAACTCAGCATGTACCAGGGACATGATTCTTTGACTTTTCAGCAGGGAAACCCTCTGCTGGCACCAAGTGCAACAGACTGAATTTGCTGAAGGACAACTGATGTCTGGGGCTGGGGCCGAAATGAGAGAATGGGCCGAAGACCTTAGAAGGATGTCACAGGAGGCAGATCGAATCTGTTTGGATCCAGAATAAGCTCAGAGGAGTATTTAGGTACAAGAAGTGATGCATATTTTTGCCCACCTTACCAACAGTAGGGGACGAAAATCCGGGCAGGGGTGGTAGCTGGAGTCATCTGGCCTGTTTGTGGAAAAGTAGCAGTAGGCTTGATGGAGATCTCAGGAGGAGGGGATAGTAGCAGGGGATGAGGAAATGAATATATTTGCCCCGTTTGTTTGGTCAGTCTGGAAGCTGCCAGGAGATCATTGCTGTCTCAACACGAATGTCAAACACACACTAACCGTTCTTTGGTGTCAGCTGGCGATTTTGTTCTCTAAGGATTGACTGTGAGTGGTAGTTGTTGGACTAAAGTGAGATAATTAACAGATACAAGGTGCACTGAAAAGTGAAGCTGCTGTATGATTATAAGAGAGCAAGTATAGAGTCAGAGTCAAGAGCATGAGCTTAAGGAGCACACGGGTTCCACAGACTAGCTGTGCACCCTCCCCAACCTACTTAATGTCTCTACACTCTACTTGTCATGTCTGTAAAGTGCAGCCAGTGCTCTCATTGGATAAGGCCAAGGCTCAGTGAAGTGGCTTTGTCATGACAGCAGTGGCCTGCATAGATATGGCAGTTGTAGAAGGCAATCCCCTTCCTTCATTAGGTCACCATCTCCCTCTCTCAAAGTTCAGCAGTGCCCTCCTACCTGTTACAGCTAGTGGGCTCTTTTCAGTTATCCTTTCTGACTTCTCCACAGCCTTTCACGCATCTGATAACTCCTTAAAGTTTTCTGCTGCTATGGTTTCTGTGACCTCTGGTTCTTCACATACCTCTCTGACCATTGCTTCTAATCGCCCTTCTTAGCTCCCCCCCCTTTTCTTTGACTGTGGTGTCCCCCGGGGCCCTGTCCTTATTAGCCTTCCTCTGCTCAGTCTGCCTGGTCTTCCTTATTCACCTGATGACACCTTTGGGCTGATCACTCTTAATTCACATCCCTAGTCCAAACTTCCTATATGTCATCTATCAGAATAGTTTATGGGACACATATACTTGGCTGTCAAAATCAACACCATCTGAGAGGAGAACCATTTTTCTCCCAAGAGCATGCTTCTCCTCCTGTGCTTTTGTTGGGCATCATCCACCCAGTCACTCAGCTATGAAACTTGAGAGACATCTTACGATGGACCGTTTTCTCATCTTCCAGATTATATTGGCCTCCAGGTCTGGCCACTTCTACCTTCTCATTGTATATATATATATATATTTTAAGATTTTATTTATTTATTTGACAGAGACACAGCGAGAGAGGGAACACAAGCAGGGGGAGTGGGAGAGGGAGAAGCAGGCTTCCCGCTGAGCAGGGAGCCCAACGTGGGGCTCAATCCCAGGACCCTGGGATCATGACCTGAGCCGAAGGCAGATGCTTAACCAACTGAGCCACCCAGGCGCCCCCTTCTCATTGTATATTTAAGCGATTGCCTCCTTTCCATGTTCTTGCCACTGCTCATCACATTCTGTCTAGAGATTGCTTCCAAACTCCCCTCTGTGCCCGCAGTGGGGCCTCCATTCACCCACCACTGCCAGAACAGCTTTGTGGTGAGCAAGTCAGAATGTCACTGGCCCTTCAGTTCTGACAGCACACAACCTGTGAAGCCCTTGCTGACCTTTTCCACTCTGCCACCCTTGCCCTCCAGTCCTCTGCTCCATCCCTGCGATCTCCCTGCGGCTCCTCTACCTACTAACTTGGAGCACCATGCCCCGTGCTCTTGCACTTGCCTTTCCTTCTGCCTGGAAATGAAGATGGAATAGGTTAATGGATATTAGGTTTTTCCGGGGGCATCCTGTATCGAACTTACCTTGTTGTTTTAGGCTACTTACGGGGTATTTCTTCCACAAGACAGACGTTTCCTCTGTCCAGGGATCCTGTTGTTCATCTTTGGTCCCCAGAACCTACTCTGGTACCTAGACTTTGTGGGTGCCCACGGCACGGAAAAACGAACAGAAATAAGTTTTTTTTTTTTTTTATTCCGAGTGGGCTCTCTGGCTCAGCAGCTGACTTTTTCCGAGACCTGCTCCCTCGGGGCCTCAGTGCTCCTCCGTCTCCCCCACCGCGCAGGTGAAGGGCAGCAGGGCGGCTCGCTGCCTTCGGGCCGGGCTGGGCGGGCGCCCGCGCGCCTGCGCCCTCTGCTGTTCCGCTCCGGGCGCGTTCTCTGTGTGCGTGTGTCTAGAGAGGAGAGGCTTGGGTGACAAGCGCGGGGTGGGGGTAAGAGTTCAGCCTGACTCACAGTCTCATTCACTGATTGCTCCGCCGCTGGACAGAAGCTGCCACCCCAGGCGGCTCCCAACTACTCCCGCACCTCCACAGTTCCCACTTCCCGCCGCTCCACTCTCAGCCAGACATTCTGACCGACAGACTCACGAGTGAGTAGCGGCGGCTTGAGCGCCCGGGCTGCACGGCGAGGTGTCCTCCCGCGGGTTGTGTATGCGTGCGTGTGCGTGTGCTTGTGTGTGTGTGTGTGTGTGTGTGCGTGCGCGCGCGCGCAGGGGTGTCCCTGGGACTCCACGCCGGGCCGGAGAGCTCCCTGCCAGGAACCGTGTGTCTCTCCGAGCCGGCGCTGCGGTGTGGGTGCCCGCGCAGGCAGCGGTTCGGCGGCCCCCGGAGCGCGGAGGGAGTTTGCCGGGATTCCCCGGCTCCGCGCGCGGCCGCCCGTGGGGTTCCCCGGGAAGGCGCCTGGGCAGGGAGGCTGCGGGGAAGCCCGGGCTGTGAGCGGCTGGCAGGCCGGGAATCTGGGAGCAGGTCTGGCCCCGCTGAGCCGAGGGAGCCGCCGGAGCGACCGCCCTGGCCGCCCAGCCTCTCCGTCTTTCTCCCTTACCCTTCCTCCTTTCTTCCCTCAGCAGCATCACAAAAGCGCGAAATGAAACCCAGTGCAGCGAAGTCCGGCTCTCGTCTCCCACCTGGTGCACATCACCCCGGGCAGGAGGAGTGGGAGTGCGCGAAATTAGGGGCGGGGGCTTACCCCGGGGACACACCTGTTTTCGCCTCTCGCTGAATACGATCTGGATGCAGGATCGCGCGAGGGGTTCTGACACATACTCCCGGGTGTGTATGTGTGTGCGTATGTGTGCGCGCGCGCGCACGCACCCCGGGCCCACGCTCGCGGGGTGCGCTCAGTTGCACACCTCTCCCGCGGCCCGCTCGGGCCAAGACTGCTCGGTGGGCGCCTAGCGAGCTCTGTGACAGCGTGCCGGCATCTCTTTGTTTGGTTGTTGCTTCCCCACCCCTCCGCAAAGCAAACTGATTTTCGGTTTCGCGTGACACTGCGCGCTGGGACTTAGTGTGGGCCGCAGCCTCAAATGCCCCTGGTATTTGAAATTGAATAGTCCTTTCGGGCTGGGGGGTTATTTTTAGTGTTGTGAATAAAGAGGCTAGCACGTTGACCTTTTTGCGGCTGCTTTGGGCTTTGCATACGTGTCTCTAATTGATGAAGCAGACGGATTCGCATCCAGTCGCACACACGTGCTTGCGCACAAGTGTGTACACACATTTCTACACACGTAGCTTTCCCCACTTCTTTTCTTTTTTTTTTTAAATCGGTACTAGGAATGTACTGTGTTTGTAAAAAAAGAAAAACAACAAAAAAACAACCCCCAAACCCCAAAACAAAAACAAAAACAAAAAAACTTTCCTTTGTTCTTTTGGGCATTTTCTATTTTGAGTAATGGAGTAGGAGTACCAAAAGGTTGCAATTAGTTCACTCGAATAAAAGACACGGCCTCTGAGTCAGCGCTGCCAAGTTGATAATTATTAACATATAAAAGCACATGCTCTGTTTAAGGCAAAAGGGGCGGGGCGAGGGCAGGTCCACGGTAGACAATGAGGGAGGGTCTCTGCCGACCGCCTGCTGCTTATTGTTCGGGCACTAGAGGCTGCAGCCCGCAGCCGCCTCCTCCTCCGGGGCTTCGCTCCTCGCTCGTCCCTCGGTCCCATTTGGGACCGTCCGAGTCACCCCCCGCTGGCCCCCGGGGCGCCGGGACGCCAGCCCCAGCCGCAGCCGCCCTTCGCTGACCGCCCTCTCTCTGCTTTGCAGGTTGGCATCTTTGCGCGCGAGGGTGTCGCAAGCCGAGGCGGCGAGGACAGGGCGCCTCTGGCCCAGCCAGCCGGGCGGTATGCGGCGCGGGCAACAGCGCTAAGCGCCCCCACGCTGGGCACGGGGCGTACTCGCTCCAGGCGGCTGGCCGGGCGGCGGCGGCGGAGGGGATGCGCCCAGGACGCGCAAGGCTCCTGCTGCGAGCTACCGCCCCGAGGTGGACCCCAAGCAGGGCTCATCGCAGGACCGCGCGGACCCCTGCCCCCCGGGGCACGCGGCTGCGGAGCCTCGGGGCCGCATCTGCGGTCAGGATGCCCTGGGTGCCTCTCTGCTGGTGAGGATGCCCTGCTGCGCGGCTCAGCGTCCCCAGCCCCGGTCCCTGGTGGGCACGACTGAGTGGGCCCGACTTCGGCCCCTCGTGCTGGTCGATGAAAAGCGCTGGAGTCCCTGAGTGCGATCAGCGATCGAATCTGAGTTCTAAGAGCCATGGACGAAGGCACCGGGCTGCAGCCCCAGGCGGGAGAGCAGCTGGAAGCACAAGCCACAGTAGGAGCTGTCCAAGAGAAGTGCGAACCAGAGACCTTTAGGTCCAAGAGTTTACCGGTCCTGAACAGCGCCTCCTGCCGGCCAGACCTGAGTCCTGCGCTTGCAGGAGCCAAGCCCTCCATCGGCTCTTTGGGCCGTCAGGAGTTGAAACCAGGCCCAAGCGGGTTGGCCCCCAGTCCCTCCGCTCCTTCCACTTCGGCGGAGACGTCAGGGCTCATGGAATGTAACCACAGGGTGGAAGTCAGCAAAGCCGTGTCGGTGTCCTCCACTTTGGCCACGCTCCAGGGGAGAAGGTGCCTCTATGTGGTCCTCACTGATTCCCGTTGCTTCCTGGTTTGCATGTGCTTTCTGACCTTCATCCAGGCGTTAATGGTCTCTGGGTACCTGAGCAGTGTCATCACCACCATCGAAAGGCGCTACAGTCTGAAGAGTTCCGAGTCGGGGCTGCTGGTCAGCTGCTTTGACATTGGGAGCCTGGTGGTGGTGGTGTTCGTCAGCTACTTTGGCGGCCGGGGTCGGAGGCCCCTGTGGCTAGCGGTGGGTGGACTTTTCATTGCCGTTGGGGCTGCCCTCTTTGCTTTACCTCACTTCATCTCGCCTCCCTACCAGATCCAAGAGTTGAATGCCTCGGCCTCCAACGATGGCCTGTGTCAGAATGGCAACTCCACGGCGCCTTCCGAACCTCCCACCTGCCTGAAGGATTCAGGAGGAAATAATCATTGGGTCTATGTGGCTTTATTCATTTGCGCACAGATTCTCATTGGAATGGGTTCCACACCTATTTATACCTTGGGACCAACCTACTTAGATGACAATGTCAAGAAAGAAAACGCATCCTTGTACCTAGGTAAGACTTTCCTGTCTTCTCAAATAAGCTTGAACTCACCAGTGAAAAGGAAACACTTCCACATTTCCCAGGAGATTACACACACACACACTATAGGATCTCATCATATATATCTCACTATACATATATATAGCATATATAATGTTATTATATATATATTGTATGTATATTTTAAGCATTAAGCTTCAGTTTATTTTATGTTTTTATGTTTTAGCCTTAGTGTGGTATGTTTTAGTTTGGAAGAGAATCCAAACAGCAGAGAGGTCTGTGGGCTAATTGTCAGACTCACACTTCACACTCTTTTCCCAAGTAATACAAACTTTTAACAATGGGGTCATGCTTCTTCCTCTTGCTGCCTGCCTTTGTAAAAACTTTAATTTATCAAGTTTATCTTCTAATGGCTGTTCTTCTAGAAAGTTCAGGAAGGAATAGAAGTACCTGGTGTGTAGAGTGAAGTCTTGGGTTATTTACTGCTTTCATCTCCTGCTGCTTCTCATTCTTGTCCCCCACAGCAGGGCTAATGGAGTACCCAGACTACATACAAGATGCTTTGCTGTCTCCATACCTGTATTTCTTCATATCACCTGCATCACCATTAAACAAAACAAAACAAAACAAAAAACAAACCTTGAGTGATATCAAATGACTAGGTTATCTTTATGCAGAAGCAAGATCAGAAGTTGTAAAGTTAACCCAAAGCTATTTTTATTGCTGGTTGAAGACCCTTAAGTACATGAACTTGGTAGCAAGTGGCTCTTGGATTTGGTGATTTGACTTGCATGAATCAGCTCCTGTGAACAGGGGGTGTTTGGATTGAATAGAGGGTGCTAATATGAGGCCAGGCAGTCATTGTGGCAGGTAAGAAAATGTAGTTCCTAGAAATCTGTGTGGTTGTCAGCACCTCCCTGTACTAGCTGCCCCTTCAAAATTGAGCTTTTAAAGGGATGGATTTGAACCGTTGAAAAGGGTGAATAGCAGTCATGCTAGATGAGATCTTTGGTTTTCTATATTTCTATACTGGAGTCCAACTAAAAGAAGAGAAAGGATTGTACTTTATAAAAAATAGTAAATAAGCAAATACCAGTTATACTTCTCATTTTATTATCCATGCACTGATAGGATCTTTGGTGTGGGAAAGGACACACACACATCTTTGGTGTGGCGAGGTTTCAAAGGACAGTGAAAATGATACCCTGCTAAGAGGGCTCTGCTCTTTCCTCAGCACAACTGCTGTCCCCAGAATCCATTGTAGAGGGTGTCTGAGCCATGTATAGTCCCCAGTTACTGGCCCAAATGCATCAGACAAGAGTTTTATAATTTATTTTTATTATTAAATGCAAGAGAAAGAAATTTTCATTTAGGGCAGAGAGCACTAGTTTGCTTGTTACTTTGCCTGCTTGTTTTCTAACATTTATTACAACAAATTTTCAAACATACAGAAAATTTGAAACAGTCAATGAACACCAATATTTCCACCACCTAGACTCAGTAACTGTTCATTTTGTCATATTTGCTTTATCAACTTGTGTGTGTGTATGTATGTATGTAATATATTGTTTTGGGTGGGGGGCTAAGCCCTTTGAAAGTAATTCTAGACATCCCTAGGTTTCAGCATGTATCTTACAAAAATAAGATTTTTTACATACGTACAGGAACTTTAACATGCTAAGTTCATAATCATTCCCTAATATCATCAAACATCCAGTCCATATTCAAATTTCTTCGATTGTCCCCTCAACGTCTTTGATAACTATATATTTTTCAAACCAGGAAGGAGGCAATCAAGATTCTCAGACATTGCATTTGGCCACTAACCTTTTTAGTGGTTTTATCATCTAGAAAAGTACCTCAACTTTTTTTTTCTTTTTTCATCATACAGACTTTTTGAAGGGACAAGGCTAGTTGATTTGCAGAATGTTCTACATTCTGGATTTATCTGATTATTTCCTTGTGGTGTCACTCACCTTGTCCTCCATCCCCTATATTTCTTGTATCCTGCAAGTTCAGTCTAAAGGTTTGAATAGATTCAGACAAAACATTTTTGGTCAGACTACTTTAAGGTAATGCGCTGTGTTTTATGTTACACGCATCTGGCCATTTGTTAGTGATGTTAAGTTTAATCACTTGGTTGAGTGGGTGATTGCTAGGTCTTCCCATTGTAAACATGCATTTCTCCCTTTGAAAATAATAAGTGATCTTTAGAATGATAACTTGACTGTAAATATTCTCATCGTTATTCTTATTTTTGCTGATCTCTGCCTCCATTTACTTTGAAAACTTAGATCTCCCTTCCACCCCATTTCTTGGATACCATTCACACAAATTTGCTTCATCAAAAACACAGGTAGGGCCATACACAAAGGGAGAGCATCCACTAGTGAGAGCCCTGAGATTTAACTTTTCTATTTTTTTTTAAAGATTTTATTTATTTATTTGAGAGAGAGAGAATGAGAGATACAGAGCACGAGAAGGAAGAGGGTCAGAGGGAGAAGCAGACTCCCCGCTGAGGGAGCCTGAGCCGGGAGCCCGATGCGGGACTCCAGGATCATGACCTGAGCTGAAGGCAGTCGCTTAACCAACTGAGCCACCCAGGGGCCCTGAGATTTAACTTTTCTAGTCGGGGCTGCCCACTGAGAAGATACACAGCAAGTCCTGGGTACTGTGCTACTTTTGGGAAGACTGAAAATGAGACCTAGTCCCAGCGCCTGAAGAGCTTTCAGTGTAATAAAGAAATACTGGCAATTTAAGGGAGGAGTGTGAAGTGGGAAAAGTTTATACAAATGGTATTTGCTTTTTCCTTCCTCCTCCTCTTTTGAAAAAAACTTTGATGAAGGCTTTAGGACACATTCTTTGGGAAACTCAAGAGAATTCTCCTTCATATTAAATGGACCTCAGTAAAAGCTACAGTGGTTTGAGTACCAGAAATCTTGCCTGTACTACTTTATTTCATGTTCTCAATGACCTCATGAGATGGGATTGTTTTCCCTATTTCAAGGATGAGGAAACTGAAGGTCAGTGAGTTTGAGTGACTTGCTTAAGGGCTTCAAACCCACACATCTCTGACTCCAGAGCCCTTGAGCTTCCCTCCCCACTGCATGTTTTTTTGGCAAGAGGCTCTGAGAGCCAACTGAAATCACGGGCTGTGCCGTGTTCAGCACAGTTCTGAGAATGGTACAGAAGGATGCAGAACTGGCCTACGGTTATCAAACACGATCAAAACAAGATCTTTCTTAAACCTTTTCAAGGAGGTTTTATAGGTAGCCTCCGTATAAATTCAAATGAGAGAGACTACTAAGTTATTCTTAGAACGTGAGAGTTGTTAACCTATTATGGTGGGGCATTTTTTCTAATAAATAACTGGTTCAGTCTCTTTGTTATTTTCCACGAAAGTGTTCTATATTACCTTTTTTCACTCTCCACTCCTTTCTTCATCTGTCAGTCTTTCTAGTTTTGCGTTATCACCATAGAAGATAAGATAAAAACAGGTAGCAGGTTCGTAATTGTAGGCACAAACAAATATCTGAATTAACATTAAAGTCATTGAAATGGAATGTAAGTGTATGTCTTAATCTTTTGAATGTTTGATGTTAACATTCTGGCAGCTTTAACTGTAGAAGAGCTGTGGTCATAGATGAGATACGGCAGCTTTTATACCCACTAAATGCCCTAACTCCTTCTGCAAGGAGAGAGGTTTTGTGTTGACCTGGAGGGTAGAGAAAGCTTTGTAGCTACTCAGAAGCAAGGTTAGTAACTAGACCATGATTTGTAATTGTATCTCAAGGGGAGAGAGAAAATGTGGTCCTTTGAGGGCAAGAAATTAATGAACCAACAGTGAAATGAGAAAGAATGGCTAACCACGTGGGAAAAGGGAAAACAAAGGATGCATTTCCAAAATAGAAAACCACAACTCTGATTGAGGGATATTCAGGAGAAGTAATAATTGGCATGGGCTGGCGATGGGCCAGGGAGTGTGGGTGCAACCATTCCACCTTCCTGGCGTGTGCGCCCTGACTTCACGCCACGGGGGGGGGGCGGGATTGGCACAGGGCTTTAGAAAGAGCACAAGATGAGGAGGCAGAAGATCTATATTTTAGTCTGGCTCTACCAGTGACTGGGGGTGAGACTTTAGACAAATCCCTTACCGTCTCCCAGCCTCTGTTTCCACATGGAGATTAGTACATTTGTTTCCCTCACTGTAATATTTTGAGGACCAAATGGGATTACATGTGTGCAAGCATTCTGCCAACTGTAAGAGGCAGCACTCTGCTCTGTTCAAGTGGAATTCAAACTCATCCTACAAGAGTGGGCAGAGTGAGGAGGGAGATATTTTACTCTTTCTGCGTATGAAAACCCTTAACCAGATCTTTTTATAGTTGGAAAAAGGAAAGAGACAGTGTGTAGGAAATTAAGACATTGTATAGGAAATCACTCCTTAGAAACATTGTACGGGTAAATTTGATCAGCGTTTCAGCAATGTTATATTCTGATTAATTGAGTTTTCTGAGAATCCAAGCTCTTATTGCCAGCGGTTTCTGCATGTCAGCCTTTGATGGCAATCTTTCTTTGGTATGTGAACATTCATGCAGTGTATATTTGTGTCTGATGTAACATAGCAAGAGCTCCTTTGAAGTTTGAGGGGGCTCTGTGGTGTCCCAGTTTCACCACTGTGGGTCTTCATTTGCCCACACAGACTGGCAGGACGTTTGGTGAACGAGGACTGGTCCAAGGACATCCTCAGAAGTAATGTTATCTTAAAATAAATAGCTGGTGGCTTCTCCTTTTTTCTTTTTTTGACATTTCCTCAGTCTTTTGAAAGTACAGTGAGCTTGAAATCAGTCGAGTTCTATTTCATCAAGAATTCATAGTATATGAATATAGTATATATATTTGTGCTCTTTCTGAGATATATTGCTCTTTTTGAGTATGAAAACCCTTCAACATATCTTGTCTGGCTCTACCAGTGACTGGGGGTGAGACTTTAGACAAATCCCTTAACGTCT